TGACAAATCGTATAGTATTCGTCTTCATTTCGTGTAATCATCGGTGCCATCTGGCAATTTTCGCCTCAAGAAGACAATACGAAGGAAATACGAAGATGCCCGAATGTCTTAGGAAGGCAACACGACTACGTGAAGCCCCCGCAATACCGTCATCTCGCCATCGTACTTTGGTACGATGCCATCGAGATGTGACCACGATGTGGGCGGAAGAAGCAAATTTGAGTGGCTCAATCAAATGTATCATGGTGGACGTATAAAAGACTTGCCTCAAACCATCTTCCTCATCAGTAAGTCCTGCACAACTCTATAGACAATACAAAAAAGTTCCATTATTTGCAGTAATTTACAATAATTTTCACAATGGCATATTTTGACGAAAAAAACAAGAAAAAGAAGGCAGCAGCAGTGCTATTATTAATAAACCTAGGAACCATGATAAGCAGCTGTTACAGGTCCAACACCGCCTCTTACAGGTAAAACAATACTGAATTATTTAGTTTTGTCATTTCTTGCTATTTGCCTTTCCAGCATTCGACAATGTACTTATGTTATTTTGTTTTTATGTTTTAGAACAGGGGCAAATCAAGGCGAAGAAAGAAACCGAGATCTGTGTGGGTCAGGAAATTGCTATCAGAGAAAAGAAGAGAAAAGTATGGCCACTACAGCACTCTACTAAAGGAGTTGAAGATAGAAGATAAGAATTTCCTTCTTTAACTATACAAGGCTTCCTAGAAGTCTATACGATGAGGTCCTGCAAAGGATAGAAGGCAGAATACAGAAAAAGGACACATGGTACAGAAAGTCTCTTCCTCCTAGTCTCAAGCTGTCTATCACTCTACGACACCTGGCCTGTGGTGACAGTTATAAAAGCCTGTCCTACAACTTCAGAGTTGCTCCAAACACCATCTCCCTTATAATAAATGAAGTTTGCGATGCCATCAAAGCCGAGTTTGCTGCTGAGGTGATCCAGTGTCCTACTACAAAGGAAGAGTGAACTGCCATTACTGAGCAGTTTGAAAAGAGATGGCAATTTCCACACTGCTGTTGTGCTCTAGATGGCAAGCATGTGGCGGTTACATGTCCTTGGAATACTGGTTCTATGTACAGAAACTACAAGGGCTTCTTTTCCATTGTACTTATGGCCTTGGTCGATGCCGACTATAAGTTTCTTTGGATTGATGTCGGCTCTGAGTGTTCAAGCAACGATGCCAGTATTTACAACGGGTCAGAACTAAAGGAAGGCCTGGAGAGTGCGGACAACATATTTAATCTCCCTGAAGAGAAGTCCTTGCCTGGTGACGACGTTCCTGTACCATACTACATAGAAGGGACAATGCTTTCGGAATCAACAAGAGCCTGATGAACCCGTTCTCTATCAGGAACATGGAGTATCATGAGAGAATTTTTAACTATATACTCTCAAGAGCCAGGCGGGTTGTAGAAAATACCTTTGGTATTCTGGCGCACAAGTTTCGAGTTTTGCTCAGGACCATGAACCAGAGGCCAGAGACATGCAGAAAAATAATCACAACCTGTGTGATCCTTCACAATCTGATCAGGCTGAGATATCCAGCTATCCACAAGAACCTGATGGACTTGGAGGACCAGAACCAAGATGTCATCCCAGGGGGCATGGAGAAATGAAAAAGTACTTCTGGATGTTTACCACGAGAGGGCAAGGAACACTGGAACCCAGGAGGGGAGGCAAATTAGAAGATACCTTAGTCACTTCTTTACCTCAAAGGCAGGTTCGGTGCCATGGCAAGATAAGATGATTTTGTAATTTTCCTGCAAAATATTGACAGTAAATTGAAACAAAGCAGTGATAGTAAAATTGTTACAGAGACATGCTAACATTGTGATGACGAATATATTACTTTCACATTTTGCATTGTATCTGAAGTAAAACTTGTATGGAGTTATAAATGCTGTTTTTGAATCTTTTATTATCGTACTCACAGTACGACGTCGTGTTCCCATCGCATGGCCTTCGTGTGTCCTGCGTGTTAACTATTTGGTAAAAAATTGCATCTTTTAGGTGACTTCGTGTGCGAATCAGATGCAATCGCGTGACCTTCTGTAGGAATCGTACTTCCTTCGGCATTTGAATGACTGTCGACTTATTTCGGAGCCATCTTCGCGCGAAATGTAAAATTCCTTATTCGTATGCACATCTGGTGTCAAATTCGGGACAGTGTGACGCGGGCATAACAATGTACATCAGATTGACAAGTTGGATAACTCTGCCTACAATATTGACAGAATTATGCCCCTTTTTGACTTAGAAATTTTGGTTAAAGTTTTTTTGTAAAGTCAAATATCTCAATTATTGCTTGAGATATTCAATTGAAATTTACAATACTTTTTTATAGTAACAATGTACATCAGTTTGCAAAATTGCATAACTCTGCAAGCAATATTTGCAGAATTATTTGCCCCTTTGAAACTTAGAAATTTTGGTTAAAGGTTAAAGGTCTTCAAAGATATTTACTTGAAACTTTACACATGTACTTAGGGTCATAATTTGAGGGTCATAATTGTATGCCACTGACCAAGTTCCATAACTCTATCTTGCATTTAGGCTGATTCATATCCCCTTTTCTACTTAGTCTCTTGGTTAATGTTAACATGCAAGTTTTACATATCTCAATAACTATTAAAGATATTTATTTAAAACTTCACATATGCATTTAGGGTCATAATTGTAGGTCACTGACAAAGATCCATAATTCTGTCTTGTATTTAGGCTGATTTTTCTCCCCTTTTTCAACTTAGAAATTCATGGTAGAGTTTTGCTTGTAAGCTGTTATCTCCATAACTATTGAAGGGTTTGTGCCTTTTTTGGGACAATTTTATGCATTCATAATAATAAAGCAGTGATTTACTTGATAAAACATCTTAATAACAAGCCTTTGTACCTTTTCTGTCAATTTTATGTATTCATAGGTAATTAGTATTATTATACTCAATAAAACACCCTTGTGACAACCTTCTGAATAGTCGAGCCAATACTGTCCTCCGACAGTTCTTGTTTTTTGAGTTATTGCCCTTTGTTAATTTTCATACTTTATTTTTGTCCTGGTCATTTCTCCTCAAGTATGAAAGCTATGGACATGAAACTTCATAGGATGATAGATCTCATTAAGAAAAAGTGCAGTGTACAAGAACCGGTACTCTGCACATCCTATTTGTGAGTTATTATCCCTTACTAATTTTCATACTTTATGTCCAGGCTATTTCTCATAAATTTTAAAAGATATGGACTTGAAACTTCATAGAATGATAGATCTTATTGATAAGAAGTGCAGTGCACAGAAACTGCTGCTCTGCACTTATTATTTTTTTAGTTATTGCCCTTTGTTAGTTTTCATATTTCATTTTTGTCCTGGCCATTTCTCCTAAACTATATTGTTCACAAGGCGACACATCCGACTTGCGGAGTTCTAGTTATACTTGAAGGGTGACATGCTGTTTTTATCTCCACTTTACAAAGAAATAATGTGGAGCTGTTGTCATGACCCTCTTATCAGCATTGGCATTAGCATCGTTAACCTTTTTGTTAAGGTCCATTTTTGCCAAGTAAAAGCCATACACTTCAAACATGTTCATTGTTATAGAAGGATGTTATGTATATTAAGGGCAGATAATCCTTAAATTAATTTTTGGAAACTTGTATTGTGACCAACTATTCTTTTTTGCTTGAAATGTTTCTTTTATCATACTCTCATAATTTAAATAAATTCTATGAAACAGTTTTCGTTTTGCTATATGTAAATCTAGCATATGCCTTCAAGAAGACTTGTCATGTGCAAAATGCCAGGTAGAGAAGTGAAGGTTCTACTTGGATGTTAAATTAGTGCATTCATGGTTGTGTCTGGCCATATTTTTGTCATTCATTGTTGAAATAATTAGGCCTACTTGAAATTTATTATTTATAACACCCTTTAAAATACTAATACCTATGGGGGCATTCATCTGTTGTCTCTGATTACAAGTTTTGTATTTCTGTGAGTAAATAAAGTGCAACCCCGTTTATTCGAGGTGCCTGGGACTGAATATTTACTTCGAATAATCGATGGGTTCGAATAATCGAAATCGAAATATTGTGATAGACGAAAACTACTCCACTTTGACAAATCATCGCAAAACTACCGTTTACAACACACTTGCTTCCTGTAATCAATTGAGAAAAATAAATATTTAAGAAAAGATGCGTAAAAATTATTGTATTGACATTGAAGACATAAATACTTACATTTTATTTTACATTATGCATCGTTTCGTTTCATGCAAAGCCTTGATAATGGCCGTGTCGTCACTACAGTATTTACAACTAAACTCTGGTGTTTTCGATTAGGATAAATTAAGGGTCTCATGTAGCGTTGCAATTAATGAAAAAAATGTTTTGCATGTTTTGACAAATTCACATATACGGATTGTATAAAAATTATTGCTGTCATCTTCAACAAAATCGGACACGGTGCATAGCTTTTCATTTTAGGTAATTAAATGTGATTAAAGAACACACAAAGAGTTATTATCATGATTGTCTAATTACACGCATGACTGTGGATATTTTTCACAAGTCGACTGGTCAGCGAGTGGATCTGCGCCAATTAGTCTGGCTTCGAATAATAATTAGGCTGGCTTCGAATAATAGGTGTGAAATTCTTTCATAATTGTATAATCGGGACCGAAATTTTACTTCGAAAAATAGGAGGTATTCGGATAATGCATTTCGAATAATACGCTCATATTTATATTGTTTTATATAGAGATAAAAACGGGACCACCAATCTACTTCGGATAATGCCGGGTATTCGAATAAAGGGTTGTCGAATAACCGAAGTCGGACTGTATTTGAATACTTTTCTTTCAAAATAATTTTGGTTATGTAAACAGCATATTTCAAGCTATCAATATTTTAAGAAACTAAAGACTTCTATTTGAAAAAATTCTCTTGTGGATTTTAATTAACTTCTGTATTTTAATTATTTCAGACCCAGGCAATACTGGTCAGGCTGATTTTTCACTCATTGAAGCAGAGAATGTTTTCATCAATTTCAATGCTTCTGTATGTGAAACACCAGAGTATAAGTTTAGAGTTAGGCATGTCTTCTTATCAACTGACACACGACGTCTGGACTTTACAATTCTACAGATAACGAACAGAAATGATGCCTTGCCAAAGGGACTGAAGTTGGATAAAAGGCCTGGTAACACACGAACAAAAACATTACATGGAATTGGGTATGGTGACCCTGAAAACCCATACTGTAAGGTGTTAGATAATTCCTGTCCTATAATTCCCTCAATAAATACAAGAATTCTGGATTGTGAGACATGGCTTTATGACAACAATCGTGGATTCCCAGATCAGAATGTACCCCCAGTTGCACAAAATGGAGCATATGCTGGGACTAATCGAATACAACGTTTTAGGGCACTTGTTCAGGAGATGGGGTCTGATCCTTGTATTGTAGATAAAGGTTACAAGTATATTGATAGGGAACAAAATATTTTCTTAGATATTTGTTTGGAACACCGAGGGTCTGGCTCTCCTTTTCTGACAAGTGACGGATTTGTCAAGGGTATACTTACTAATGGTCATCCAGAATTTTTTTACCTGCTTCCTAAACTTGTACAGGCTGGCTTTCCGAGTGATAAAAGATTTGAATGTATTTTGAAATTGGAATATGTACACCAAAACATTTCAGAACGGGACCCAGTCTTAGCTAATAAATTGTTTGGCTAAATGTCTTACCAGGGGCTTAGTTATTTTAAGATTGCCTGTACAAATTGTCACCCGAGACCTCTCAAGATTTTTTGAAATTCCTTAGTTGTCTGTCCTTTTATAGTTTAATAGAAAGACCAGTTTAGGTCTCATGAGAAATAAGAATGAGTTATGGTAAAGAGCATAATAGATTTTGCTTCATCTGTCCATCATTTTGGCACCAAGTTATAATTGTACAAGTTTCCTTTTGAATTCAGGTTTAAGCATATGAAACCTTTTATTGCTTTTGATGTTGTACCGATATGTTGCTAAGGTTTTGCCAATTTAACATGTTACTCCACCCATTTTGATTAAGCACATATGTACGCATCCATTATTTTACAACATTATGACTGTACTTGTTTAGCAAAACATACATCTGTACGTACTGTTACTGTGTCATTCAACTGCATTTGTAATTGTCATGGTTGTCACTTCTCATGCAATTGTTTTAAACACTTCCAATTAGACACAATGAGAAGCCAATTCTAGAATCTTTACTAGCTCATTTAATCTGAAGATCAGATCTGTTAGCTGTGACATAAATCTCTGTTATGATGTTGGTCTGTTTATTGCAATTTTAATCAATCTTTTGTGACATTGATTCATTGGTTGTGACATTGATCCATCTGTTGTCATAATTCAAATTGCTGTGACTTGACATGTAAATGCTGTGGCATTAATCCAACTGCTGTGACATAATCTGCTGTGTCAAAAATCCTTTTGCTGTGTCATAATTCAATTTGCTGTGACTGTCATCTCACTGCTGTGACATTACTCCATAAACATAAAATTTGAATTTCTTATGCAGATCAGCTGGGGCACTTAAAACAGAAAGATATGCAGAAGATAATTAAGAAGATAAATAAATTGAAAATCCACTTTTTGTGCTATTCTTCATCGATTTTAGTTGTAATGCTTTTCAAATTTGGTTAATTGTTCACAATTAGAAAAAATAATCTGGATAAAAAAACAGAGTGATCAAATTATATAAAATTTTGCACACAAGTTATTGGTCTAGACCTACATGAAATGGAACATTGATCTTGAAAAATTATTTCCAGACCTAAAATGTCAAAAAACCTCTGTGGAGTCCCTTTAAGATTTATTTGCTGTGATATCACTTAATCTTCAGTGACATTTATCCATCTGCTTTGACATTCATCCATCTGCTTTGACATTCATTCATTTGCTGAGCCATTTATCCACCTGCTAGGTTTGTGTCTGTTTAATGTAAAAATGACTTGATTTAAGATGTACTTTTATTAAGCATAAATTTACATGTAATGTAACCCTGCAATTTCATTGTGCTATTCTCTTTTATATGAAGGGATATAGATTTGATTCTGTTTTTATTTCAATCCACCAGATCTTTCCATCTTTAAAATAGTGTGGCTTGCCTTGCCCTTAAATGACAGCCATCCTCTAACAGTAATACTCATACAAATGTAGATTGAGCATATAGGTCTTACTTTTTATGTAAGAGTAGTCTCACAAGAGTGATTATCCTTGACTTAGTCTACTGCTATGTAAGTAAATGAAAGAAAATTTTTAAAAAAATGATATGATAGTGTTAACTTATTGAAAAAAGATGAATGAATCTCTGTTTTACTTTCACTTTTGAGCAGTTTTAATATTGTTATGCCCCCACTTCAAAAAAGAGGGGGTATATTGCTTTGCATTTGTCTGTCGGTCCATCGGTCCGTAGACCAAATGGTTTCCGAGTGATAACTAAAGAACCCTTAGGCCTAGGAACTTCAAACTTCGTATGGTGATTGGTCATGACCAGTAGATGACCCCTATTGATTTTGGGGTCAAGGTCACATTGACCTTGTAGGTAAAAACGGTTTCCGATCAATAACAAAAGAAATCTTAGGCCTAGGAACTTCAAACTTGGTATGGTGATTGGTCATGACCAGTAGATGACCCCTATTGATTTTGGGGTCAAGGGGTCAAAGGTCACATTGACCTTGTAGGTAAAAACGGTTTCCGATTAATAACTAAAGAACGCTTAGTCCTAGGAACTTTAAACTTGGTTTGGTGATTGGTCATGACTAGCAGATGACCCCTATTGATTTTGGGGTCAAGAGGTCAAAGGTCACATTGTCCTTGTAGGTAAAAGGGTTTCCGATCAATAACTTAAGAACGCTTAGGCCTAGAAGTATTAAACTTGGTATGGTGATTGGTCATGAACAGCAGATGACCCCTATTGATTTTGGTGTCAAGGGGTCAAAGGTCAAGGTCACATTGACCTTGTAGGTAAAAACGGTTTCCGATCAATAACTAAAGAACGCTTAGGCCTAGGAACTTCAAATTTGGTATGGTGATTGGTCATGACCAGTAGATGACCCTTATTGATTTTGGGGTTTAGGCGTCAAAGGTCAAGGTCACATTGACCTTGTAGGTAAAAACGGTTTCCAATCAATAACTAAAGAACGCCGAGGCCTAGGAACTTCAAACTTTTTATGGTGATTTGTCATGACCAGTAGATGACCCCTATTGATTTTGGGGTCAAAGGGTCAGTGTCAAATTGACCTTATACTTTAAGATGGTTTCTGACCAATGACTCAACAAGTCAAGTTGCCTTGGTTGATATTTTTATATTAAACTAAAAATGCTTTTGGTATACACATTTGAAGGTCTTATGTAATATAACAACTTGGCTGTCATTAATTAGGCCTACATGATTCATAAAATTTATGCATATTTTATTTGGTAAGATTTGTAATAACTTAAATTGCTGCACACAACCTATGGAGTCGCAGTAATTATTATAACCTTGTGACTAGTCATGAGCAGTAGATAACCCTTATTAATTTTTTGTTCACTGGGTCAGAAGTCATGCATAATAACCTGATCACATGACTAATTGGCTGCCCATAGGGGGCATACATGTTTTAGAAACATATCTTGTTAGACTTTGATTTATTAGAAATTTAACCAGAGTTATGGCCCTTTATTTAGTCAAACTAATGGAATTCCGAAATTGCTTCGTATTGTGTTGAGCTGCATGTTGTATGGATGATTTAAGTTTTATTATATATCAAGGGGAATGTGTCCAGTGGTTATACATATCTGGTTGCTTAATTTATTTTAAGATGCTTTTTGTTGTTTTGGATTTGAATATTTATTGTATGTACCTGTTAATATTTGTTGTTGTTGTTTTAAGTGGCACACCTCCAGATGAGAAAAAAATATCTTAAAGAAAAACTTAAGAAAAACATTTCTACTGAAAGAAAGCGAAATTTAATTTATATCTATAAATTATGACAGAATTTATGATTTTGATCACAAAATTTTTACTCTGTTACAGAATAACAGAAAAGTTATATAGGTAATTTTAATGTAAGTAAAGTGTGTAAGTCTGTATTTGTGCATAGATATTTTATATAAAACAAGTTTTCAGTTTTCATTAAAAGGAACAGAGTTCTTGAATAAAGTGGTAAAAATGTAGTTTTAAAAAAATCGCACAAATCTAAAGATGTGCTACTTTGAAACATTATAAATATGTTCCCAGTGTGCAATTCATTATAATGGTGTAGTTACTGTTATGTGTTTTTCTCAGCAATATTTTGCAGCAATAATGATGTATAAAATATACGCAATATAATTTTAAAGGTTTACATTATAGTGAAATGAATAAAAGTCATTCTTAGAACAAAACAAATAAGGTTTTCTTTGAACAAAATCATTTAAAGAACTATCAATTTGTAAGTGATTTTATGTGAAGAAGCTATCCAGCTAGCATGCACAATGTTGGTAGTCTTATGTGCCTGAAATAATGCTTGTATGTCATCATGTGACCTTTCCTATGTTGGTGTGACTTAAAACACAACCCAAAATAAAAAAATCTGTCTTAATTGCATTAAACAGTGAAAAAATGATTTAAAGAAGAATAATAGTATTTACAATATACAGCAATACTTTGTGTACTGTTGCAATACATCACATTATTACATTATAGCTTTTCTTTGCAATACAAAGCTTTGTTATACATATTGCCAGATACTGAGATATTGCAAATAAAATACGAAGGAGTAAAAAAATCAATAGATATCAAAATTGATTTACAATTCGAATCTCAAACAACTTGACTTGTTTGTAAATGATTTTCATGAAACTTGGCCAATTTTTGTAAGATATTTTAGTTATTTAAATCATACTGCAAAATCATTATTTTTCGTGGGGCTTGAGTTTTTGTAGTTTTTGGTGATAGGTCAATCCACGAATTTAAGATTCAACGAAATTTTATTTTGTCTGCTGTGTGGAATACAGTATGATTATTTTATATTACATGTGTATTATTTGCATGCTACTTGACCTTTGTGACAAAACCGCAAAATTTCATGCCACAATATCAGTCTTAATAATAGTAGTTGTAGAATTTTCACTAGATCATGCATTTTCTAAATTCACTTCACTGTATATAATTCACATTAGATTTCTTTAATCATTTGAGTATATTCAAAGTTCACAACAATGTACTATTAGTCAAAATTAGTTTTTGTTTTGTTTCAGATATCGTAGTCTTAGATCATGCAAAGTTTAAATAAATTTTGATACGTAAATTTTCAATCTGCTATTTGTATATACATTTATGTAAGCTTAGACTACGCCTTTAACTTTTTTGACCAATTGTTTGTTAGTGCTTAGTTTTATTGTATACCACCTTTTTGCTTGTTTTTTTTTTTTTAACATAAGTTGTTTTGAAATTTCTGTATGATCTAGTTTTTTATTGGGCGAAGACTGTATGGCCTAGTTTTAATACATTGCAGGTATAAGATGTATGTAAGAAAAATGTTACTTGTTTCAGTTTTGTAATGCACAAAGTCATGTGATTAGCAGACGATCTTTATATTTATGTGTTTATATTTATACTCCACATTTGTGCCATAAATTCATTTTAAGCCAGTGATTTTTATTATATTATATTTACAGATATACTATACTCAACTTTAGATAAGATACTTTTATAGCAGAAATTTCTTGAAACCTAGAAAATTCTTACTAAATATGTGTAATTTGGATGAAAGCGTGCAGAAACTATGTTTGGGAAGCTGCATTACCTATTACTGGTCAAGTTGATTTGATCCTTTTTTAAAAAAAAACTGCCAGTTGTTTTAACACTACATGTATGTATTCATACTGTGTTTGTACCCGTAGTGTGTAGAGTTTTAAGTGAAACAATTACATTCTCTGTGTGCTGAAAAGATGTTTATTTTAACTCTTTAAAAGAAATTGTATTGCAATTATCAGTATTTTAAAATATCAGATCTGATTTGAGCATAGTATATCTTATTTTAATGTAGAAAGTATTCTGTCTGTGTTTGTTGATTTTAAATGATTTTTAAGGTGTAGATTTTTGTAAGACTTTGAAGTAAATTGAAGGCTTTTTATCACGGAATATTTGAATACTGTTATATACAGAGGGTGAGGTGGTATTTCAAAAGTAATGAAATTGATTATCCTGCTGCCCGGCTTGGTTTTAGGTTCACATGAAATACATGTACATACAGATTATAAGAAAGTATTTGAGAATAATTGATTTGTACTGTAAATACTGACACCAAATTAACAAATATACATGCAGTGTCACATGTAGAGGACATTGAATGAGTGTAGGTTTAATACTTAGTTTATTGAACGAGTTGAATAAAATCATAATTATGTGAGCCTCTGGCGAGCATAATATTGTTTTATTCAATTTGTTCAATAAATTTAGTATATAATCTACACAAATATAATATTCAATTTATCACATATTCAAAAAGAGAATGATTTACAGTTAAAACGAGTCATTTTTCATTGACGTGCCTATAGTGTAACGCTAACAGTTAGTGTACTTTAATGCTATCTTTACATATAGGGCAAATGACGTCACATCAAAGTATTATTATATTAAATTGCTTTATCACACACCCGTGCCGATTTTGCGACTCCGTAAATATGGTATTGCACGGTCGTGCATATATTTTGACGTGACGTCATTAGCGTTATGCAAACAAAGTGTAAAGACGCGCTAAATGTTAGCGTTCTACTATAGCACGTCAACGGAAAATAACTCTTATTTCACTTTAAACGGTCTTTATTTTGGGTATGTGATAAATAGAATATTAAATTTGTGTAAGTTCATTACTGAATTTATTGCACGAGTTGAATAAAATAATATTATGCTCGCCAAAGGCTCGCATAATATAATTTTATTCAACTCGTGCAATAAATTCAGTATTGAACTTACACTCATTCAATATCCTCTATTTATTATACTCCCGCGCCATGGTTTATGTGATGAAAGTCTTTTACAGAGGCAGCAAATACATACCGGTACTGTAAACATGCAATCATTGATAGTCTAGTGAAAAGGGTTGTACAAATCTGAGGTAATCAACAACTTGGTAGTTTACAATAGCGTTTTAGTTAATGTAAATTTGCCTTCTGCTGCCATGCAGTTATTATGTACATTGTATATTATTATGTACATTGATGTTGCCTTTTTTTATTACAGTGTAAAGACATTTTTTCTTGTGAAGGTTTTATGATATTAAGGTTGGATATTCTGATCATGGATAAATGTTCTGATATTCTGTGAATTAGAAAACTAAAATTTTTTAGTGTTTTTTGTTTGAGTTTAATCACTGGAGAAAAAAAAACACAACGATTTTGCTAATTATCAGTAAATGAATTGTATGTTTGATTTTCAAATGAAGTTGTTATGTTTTGTATCAGCATGTATTGATTGTTACGATTTTGTTAACACCAAAGCAGGTACACTGTGATCAGTTGTGTTGAGAGGAATTTTGACCAAGAATTTTCAATGCAAGTTTGTTAGTGTTGTTTTGATTACTTCATTGTTAGTCTATATTAAAATGTTAACCTTTGTATTGCTGAATTTCCTTAATGTTCTTACCAAGCTTCCAGTATGAAATAGTTCATGATCTACTTATTGGATAATCCCAGGTAATTATCACTATGGAATTTTGGAAGTTTGTCTGCTAAAAGTCAGACTGTGCACCCATATAGGCTTGCCTGGCTCTGTGCTGGTGGCAAGGGCTTTGACATTTTGGTATCAGCATTAGAAAGAGGGGTAAATGTAAATTTATTTCATGTTATACATTGATGTGTTGACTCATACATTTGTATATACTGCATCATTTATAATTATGTCCACATAAAAATAAATTCTAAAAGTCTTGTTCAGTTCTGTTTACTTTTGTTCCTTTTGTTTTTAGTAATTTAAGCCATCTTAGCTAGTAAGTTGGCATGTAGTACCAATGGTTTTAAATTGGGGACAAAATATATAATTCAATCCCAATTTTAAAGGCACATTTTGCCTCAGAACTTAAATACATTTTTACTTCAGAAAGGGCAAACATGAATTTTAAAATGTTTAAATAATGGTTTTAGAGAATGTTAGATGCTTGTTACTTGCAGAAAGTAGCAAAAATATGGTATAATTTGTCAAATTAAAAGGAGAATAATGTTAACAAAGCAGTATTTTGACTTCCATACAAAATACTAATCCTCGATAACTACTTTTTTGCCAAAAAGCAACAGATGAGAAAGATGGTTCTTGTAATTGGCCTATGACTGATTTTATAGATACTGATAATAGAAGTACACCAATAATTTTTTTTTTTCAGAAATAAAGAAATTTAAAATAAAAGCATTTCTGAGGCATAATGGGCCTTTAAACACGGCTTACTAACTGATCTTTTCAAAGTCCATTAATCTTGACCAGCCTTGTATTACTGGTACTAGAATGTATTGCAATCATTTGCAAGTATTGGTACTGATACTGAATTACACAAAATTAGCTTCTTCTGGTACTGGAATATATATAGATCCCTGACCTGGCAGTCATGTAATTCATTTCCTAAGTCATTGAGCACCAGTCCTGAACTTTGTAAATATTTAGGATGAAAACTATGCTGTTTTAAAAAAAAATTGTTAATCAGATACTGATGATACCAATAATAATTATTTAGGTTGTCCCTGTGCATTAATAAATATGAGAAAGTAATTAATGTCAAAACTGGCTTTGCATATGTATACATGTAAATGACTTCATAATCCATCATATATTTTTGATGGAATTTAATAAAATATATATTTTCACCACCATTATCTTAGCATTTACTCTACAATGTGCATATACATAATGTGTGACCAAAATCACATTTTGTATGTTAAAAGAACCTCGATGAAAAAGCCTATATTTAACACAAA